GAGGCCCATATAAACTCCATGAACTGCCAGCAGGTGCTGTGATCTCGAGAAGGTTTCCCCTCGCTCAGTCGAACAAGACAAGAATGATCGACGACTTCTCCATCAGTGGGGTCAACGACTCCTGTGTGACGCATTGCAAAATAGATCTCCACATGATCGACACCCTGAGCGCAACAGTCCGGAAGTACTTTCGCAGCTGCAAGAACAGGGGTCGTGACAGTACATTGGTTGGCAAGACATTCGACCTCAAAAGTGCTTATCGGCAGGTCCCCATACACGCAGAACACTTGAAGTACGCCTACTTCAGCGTGTACAACCACACCAAAGGTTGTGCAGAGATCTACCAGCTGGTCACGTTGCCCTTTGGGGCTACGCACTCAGTTTACTGCTTCCTCCGCTTGGCTCGGATGCTGCATTCGTTGGCGGCAAGAGGGCTCTATCTGGTCAACACCAACTTCTATGATGATTTTGTGATGTTGTCTCGACCGGCCAGTGCAGTCTCCGCTGACCAAAGCATGGAGCTGCTCTTCCTGCTGACCGGGTGGCAGTATGCAAAAGAAGGGAAGAAGGCAACTACCTTTTCCAGCGTGTGCCAAGCGCTTGGGGTTGAGTTTGACTTCAGCAAGTCGGAACAACACCTCATGCTTGTCTCGAACACAACACAGCGAAAACAAGATCTCGTCGCAGCCATATCTGGTGCTGTGCAAAGAGGCAGTCTGACGAAGCAGGAAGCTTTGGTGCTCCGGGGCAGGCTGGGCTTCGCCGACAGCTTCATACATGGGCGGCTGGGGAAACTGACCTTGAAGAAGTTGATAGAGCATGCTTATTCGAGACGAAAGGAGCTTGAGGCGGACACAAAACTGGCTTTGCTCGCAATGAAAGCTCGCCTTGAAAGTGACCAACCCATGCATGTCAGCGACGGAGAGCTGGCGCAGTGGTATGTATACACTGATGCTGCTTACGCTTCTGACACCAAGACAGGTGGGCTAGGGGCGGTGCTTGTGGATGACCAGGCCAATGTTGTTGAATGGTTTGGCATTGCTTTGAGCTCTGATGAATGCAAACTTTTTGGCGCCAGCTCGAAAGAAACGATCATCTACGAGCTTGAACTCGCCGCAGCCGTTCTTGCATTCGCTTACTGGAGACAAAGGCTCCGACACAACCTGACCGTGTGGTTTGGCGACAACGACAGTGTTCGCTTTGCACTCATTCGAGCTTGTGGAACGGGACCATGGGCCGAAGCGCTAATACAATAACCTTGAAATCGAAACCGCTTGCAATACCAAGGCCTGGTTCGCAAGAGTTCCGACCGAAGCTAATATTAGCGACTTTCCTTCTAGGCAGTGTGAACACGCTTTGCTTTTGACTGAACTTGGCAGATCTTCACTAGCTTCCAGACAGTTCGCTGACCTCAAGGAGTTTGTTAGGAAGTGCTTGCGATGCCACGGAAACCAAATGGGGGAAATGACCGTGACATCCCCCGCGTGAAAAGAAAGCCCGAGCT